TCCTTTAGTTTGTGAGTCTCAGATAGTCTTCCAGACCCAGAATAGTCCCTTTAGGTGCCCACATTTCTCATGTTTGTTTCCTTCCAGACCCGCAAAACAGCTAGTTGGCTGGCGGCAGAGCTCTCAAAAGAGGGCCACCAGGTGGCTCTGCTGAGTGGTGAAATGATGGTGGAACAGAGGGCTGCAGTGATTGAGCGCTTCCGAGAAGGCAAAGAGAAGGTTCTGGTGACCACCAACGTGTGTGCCCGTGGTGAGCAGAGACTGGCCTGATTAATAAGGCTTGGGATCCCAGGCCTTGTGAGGAGGAAGATGGTGGTATTCATGGTCTCAAGGAGGTGGGTGGGATTGTCCTTTCCAAGAGAGAACGATTCTCCTTGGGTGAGGAGAGCCATGCAGAAGCCAGCAGTCCTGCCTTGGTGGAAAGAAACTCACTGGCTACCAGAACCTTGCTTTCTGGTTTCATAATTTTCTTTTTCTTTTTGAGATAGGGTCTCCCAGTAGCCCCAGCTAGCCTGGAACTCACTATGTAGATCAGGCTGGTCTTGAACTCCCAGAGAACCATGTGTCTGCCTCCCGAGTGCTGGGATTAAACGCGTGCACCACCATGCCCGGCCTATGATTTCATAGTGTTTTAAAAGCGCTTGCCAAGGTTCTATTGTCTCTGCTACAGACCTTTAGGTGTCCTTTCTAATGCCCACATCCCAGAGTTAGCCTATGTCAGGCTCAGCCTCCACTGGAAGTGGATGTGTGTAGCTGACTGTGGCTCCCATTGTCTCCTGTCCTGACTCCTCTGTCTGTGGCCCTCCCTCCAACCCCTTCCTGCAGGTATCGATGTTGAACAAGTGTCTGTCGTCATCAATTTTGATCTTCCCGTGGATAAGGACGGGAACCCGGACAATGAGACCTACCTACACCGGATTGGGCGCACAGGCCGCTTTGGCAAGAGGGGTCTGGCAGTGAACATGGTGGACAGCAAGCACAGCATGAATATCCTCAACAGAATCCAGGAGCATTTTAGTGAGTCCCTGGAGTCTGATAGGCCTGGAACCCCTTTCAGAGGGGGATGTGGGAGAGGAGAGGTTTTCCTGTGGCCCCAAGACAGGCTCTGCCCCCGCACGTGTTGCTCTCTGCTCTCCCCTCTGGATGTTCCCGGGGGGCGCACCTGCAGATCAGTGCTCCGAGACTGGAATGTCAGTTCCCCGGGAGCCAGGCCAAGGCCTGGAGTCTGACTGTTGGTGTCAGTGAGCAGGACCCTGCTGCCTGCTGCTCAGGCTCAGGAAGCACATTTTTGTAAAGGTTAGATGAAGCATCAGGCTAGCCCAAGGCCTGGCCCCTCCCAGGCTGCTGTGCTGTTCTCAGTGACTTTCTCTGTGTTTCCACGGTAAGTCCATGGTGGTCCCTCTTCAAGTCTCTTTTCCCCTCAGATAAGAAGATAGAGAGATTGGACACGGATGATTTGGACGAGATTGAGAAAATAGCCAACTGAGAAGCTTCATCAGCAACTGGCACCACCTTCAGTGCTGTCCCTTCAGGGAGACCAGTGCTTTAATGGTGTAGGCCTTGACAGGCACCTCAAAGACCAAGGCCTGAGTAGAGACTACCTACCTCATTCAGAATTACGTTTGGACTTGACAAAAATTTGTGCAAATGACAGGAAGAAATCTAAGGAAAATTTTGCATTTTGGAAAATAGTCCTCCTCTCTTCCCCCTTTCAAAGCCACAGTTTTCCCCTTTTTTATAATGTGGTTGCTGTTTATGATGGTTGGGCCCCAGACTTGCTGTCCACCCACTTTCTGATTTGATGTATTAGGACCATTCTCTGTCCTTGAATAAATGACAGGGGAAATGATGGTTCAGAGAGGCTGGGCAGGACATGGCTGTGGCCCAACTACCATTGCTAGAGCTGATTAGAGTGGCCCCAGAGACCCTGAGTGCCCCTATTGACCTCTGACTTTTCCCCTGCTCTGGGATCATCTGAAATCCAGCTGGTCCCTTGTGCCTGCTCTCTGGGGCAGAAGATGTCCATCTTCCTCCCTGGTGAGCATCTTGGCTACTTCTATGTTTTTTGGATTGGTGGAGAAGATGGAAGTTGGCAAATCAGACTCCTGAGGGAGACTGGTATATCCAGTAGACAAATCCTTTAAGGATGAAGCTTGTTTCTTCTGGTCTCTCCAGCTTCTCTAAGCCTGGTATCAATGATAGCAACTAGAAGACTGCTGACTCCGTTAGTTGTTTCTGATCTGTGGGTTTCATGCCATGTTTGGAGATGAGCAATAGTTTGGAAAGGAAGGTATGGCCAAGAAAAATATTAATTATGCTATCAGTAGACTTATGGATTACTTATTCATTCATACATTGTATGAATAAGGTCAGATGAATTCCAGTGGTACACATCATTCATTATGAGAAAGTTTAATTATAAGAAACAGTTTACTAATCATGATTTGTTAATTGTATTTTTCTGCTTATTAGACTAATATATGCTCATTTAAAAAATGTGTGTTTGTGTATGCAAAAGTGCTTTGTGTGCCCAACTTGGGCACCACTGTTACCAGCTTGCTCAACTTTTCCCCTTGTTTCCCCTTCCCTTTGCTAGAAGTACCCACTTTCATTCTGTAGAGAATGAACATTCTTACAGCACTGTGTAAGTTGATAGTGCACTTATTGGTGCGTGTTGGACAGTTCAGTAGGTCCAGCACACGTACATGTATCCCACCCTGGAAGGTAACTGTCACCCCAGTTTGTGGCCACCCCAGCATGTTTTGCCATTCCCCCACTGGTAGGGGTTTCCAGCCTGTTACAGTGACTAGCTCAGTCCTCCTCTTGAGTCCCTGTTGAGAACTGTTCCAGGACATATTCCTAGAAGTAGAATTGTTGGGTCAAAGTGTGGAAACATTACATCATAATTCACCACCAGGTAAGGCTGCCAAAATGTTTTGCCAATTTATGTTACTGCACGGACCAAAAAAAATACCTATTTCTTCTTACCTGTTTGCCAACTCTTTATTATCTAGTTTTTTTTTTTTTTTTTTTTTTTTTTTTTTTTTTTTTTTTTTTTAAAAAAAAAAGAGGACGATAAATCTTTCACTGTGATATATCAAAATAA